AGGAGGGTAAGAAAATTATACACAGAAAAACAATGTACAATGTATCAACAAATTTTAATTTGAAGATTTATTAACTAGAAGGATTTTCTCATAACTGTTCGTTCTCAAACTATGCCCACAGAAATCTAAGGTTCCACTGGGGACACAGCAGGATTGAGGGAAAAGGAAGTCTACAGGTATAGTCTCATCTCTGCTTTAGCTGAACAGCTCTACCTGCCTCTATTTTATATAATACAGTTTAATGCAAAAAAAAATTTTTTTCCAAAGGTATAAAAGTCACTAACTTCGTCAAAGTCCCTAATTTTACATAAGAGACAAAAAGGCCCCAGAGAGATTGTAGTTTGCCTGAGGTCAAAAAACCATCTAGTTGCCAGCCAGGAATGTGGTGTAGGTCTTACTGAGCCTAGAGTTTTATGCCAGTTACTTCCTCATATTCAGGAACAACGCATGCATTTTTAACTATAACTCAGAGAAGATGAATACATAAAACTTTGTCATGTGGCTGAATAATGTTCAGGCATTAGGCACAAAATAGCTTTCTAACTAAATTATAAATTTTAAAGTCATGAACAAAAATAGAGGAACAAAAGTTATCTTAACTCCTATTAGTAACAGTCAACATACGCAGGATTTACAAGCACAAAATGTTTTAACCAAAGGACAAGGAGCTTGAAGGAGAACATCTTTAGTTGAACCAAAGAACCTGAAACTGAGGAAATTCTTCCTTGAAAGAATTATCCATTTCTTTCAAATAAAACTTGGTTTATCAAAATCAATCAACAAATGAGTTACCTCTGTTGTGGGTTATTTATAACAAAATTTAAAACACAAAACAGATTTCTCTTTACCATCTAGCATGCTCTGTCCAACCTCTCATCATTAGTTGGTATGTACAAAAGACATGATTAACTTTAATTATAATTTAAATCAAGTCAGAAATTCTAGGTAAACCTTCATTTCCATGCGAGGACTTTTCTCTACCTGCCTCACGACAGGAAGGGAGATTTGCCTAAAGGGTGAATTTGGGAGAAGGCACTAAGCAATGCCTACATGGTTCCAAATCTCTTCTTTGAAAAGATGTGCCTGCCACAGTAACGTGAATTCAAGTCTGCTCTCATCTTTGTGGGATGGGCATCAAACATTTGTTCCTTCCATTACAACTGTGTGGAAGTGCCTAATTTGGGATAAAGTACTGGGAAGCTCGCTGTAGCTACATACCTAAACCATATCCTCCTATTTGTTTGTATGTGTTAGTAACAAAGTTACTAAGCTTATCTCCATCTGCCTGACTCCTGTGTTCTCAACTCAGAAAGAGAAGAGCAATGTCATCTGCCACCTACTCCACCACAGTTCCAACAAGAAAAATGACCAGACAACACTTAGAAATGTTTTCTCCTTCCTTGACTTTATAACTAACATTCATTGTTCAAAGCAACATACTTGAAAGAGGGAAAAAGCAGAAAAGAACAATTTCAGAAACAAACATACAAAGTCAGACAAAATGAGGAGACAGAGGAGTATGTTCCAAATGAAAGAACAATACAACACTTCAGAAAAATAACTAAATGGAACCGAGATAAGTAATCTACCTGATAAAGAGTTCAAAGTAATGGACATAAAGATGCTCAGCAAACATGGGAGAAGAATGGATGGATTCAGTGAGAACTTCAACAAAGAGAAAATATAAAGAAGAACCCATCAGAGTTAAAGAATACAATAACTGAAATGAAAAATACACCAGAGGGAATCGACAGCAGATTAAAAGCTGCAGAACAGATCCGTGATCTGCAAGACAGGGTAGTAGAAATCCTCCAAGCCAAAAGGAAAAAAAAGAATTTTAAAAATGAGGACAGGCTAAGGGACCTCCTAGGATCGAGCCCCACATCAGGCGCCCTGATCAGGGAGCTTGCTTCTTCTCCCTTTCCCTCGGACCTTCCCCTCCCACTTGTGTTCTCTCTCGCTTGCTCTGCTCTCTCTCCCTCATAAATAAATTTAAAAAAAAAAGGAGGGGTGCCTGGGTGGCTCAGTCGTTAAGCGTCCGCCTTTGGCTCAGGTCATGATCCCAGGGTCCTGGGATTGAGCCCCACATCGGGCTCCCTGCTCAGGAGGAAGCCTGCTTCTCTCTCTCCCACTTACCCTGCTTGTGCTCTCTCTCTGGCTGTCTCTGTCAAATAAATAAATAAAATCTTAAAAAAAAAAAAAAAAGGAAAGGCCATAACTAGAAGTAAAAAAATTATGAAAGAAAGTTTTATTGGTAAAAGCAAACATACAGTAAAGGTAATAGATCAATCACATTTATAAAGCCAGTACGAAGGTTAAGACAAAAGTAGTAATATCAATTATATCTACAGTAATTAGTTAAGGGATACACAAAATAAAAAGATGTAAACTAAGCCATCAAATAAATAAAACAACGTGGGGTGTAAAAATGTAGTGTTTTTAAAATGTGTTTGAACTTAAGTAACCATCAACTTAAAATAAACTGCTATATACATAGGATGTTACATATGAACTTCATGGTGATCACAAACCAAAAATCGAAAGGCATCCAAGCATAACACTAAAGAAAGTCCTCAAATTAGAAGGGAAGAGAGCAAGACAATAACGATGCCGAATGAAAGAACAAGACTGAGGCCTCATTTACCCTGAGCCTATGCTCCTTTTGTCTACGTTAATAAGACCATGAATATACCATCAAAACCATAACCCTATGTGCATTCATTGAAATGGATATTTTAATAACAATGATACACAATGGAAACTATTTAAAGACTCCCTATCATTCCCATATTAGTCATCAATCATTCAAGTGATGGCAAGGTAGATATACGTGAACTTTTTTTAAAAAATTCAAATTGTGGGGCGTCTGGGTGGCTCAGTCAGTTAAGTGTCTGATCTTGATTTTGGCTCAGGTCACGATCTCAGGGTTGTGAGACTGAGCTCTACATGGGGCTCGGCACTGAGCATGGAGCCTGCTTACCCTCTGCTCCTCACCCCCTGCCTGTACTCCCTCTCTGAAAAAAAAAAAAATCAAATATTTGCTTGATTTAGCTATTTAGAAAATACTCTACAACTGCTCAACAAGACATTTTGTAAAATGTGAAACAGAAGTGTTATAAGTAAAAAAAAAATGCTATAAGTAAGAAAGCAATTAAGAATGTACTCTCATGTAAGAAAATAGGTCATGAGACTGGGCCCTACGTAGGGTTCACGCTCAGTGGGGAGTCTGCTTGAAAGTCTCATGCTCTCTCTCCCTCTTATGCACTCTCTCTCTCTAAAATAATAAAATCTGGGGCACCTGGGTGGCTCAGTCGGTTAAGCCACTGCCTTCAGCTCAAGTCATGATCCTGGAGTCCCAGGATCCAGTCCCGCATCGGACTCCTTGTTCGGCAGGGAGTCTGCTTCTCCCTCTGACCCTCCTCCCTCTCATGCTCTCTCTCTTGCTCTCAAATAAATAAATAAAATCTTTAAAATGATAAAACCTTTAGGGGCGCCTGGGTGGCTCAGTTGTTAAGCATCTGCCTTTGGCTCAGGTAATGACACCAGGGTCCTGGGATTGAGCCCTGCATCAGGCTCCCTGCTTGGAGGGAAGCCTGCCTCTCCCTCTCCCACTGCCCCTGTTTGTGTTCCCTCTCTCGCCGTGTCTCTCTCTGTCAAATAAATAAATAAAATCTTCAAAAAATAAAATTAAATAAATAAATCTTTAAAAAATAATAAAATATGTTAGTTTAGTTATATTTATTAAATAAAGTGAATAATAAGTATCTCTTGAAAGCAAGAGCTCCAGGAACTAAAAAAATATCATAAAATTTGTTTCATTTCTTTATTAGCACATATAATTATGACTTTTACTTAGTGTGTGTTAGTCAGTTAAACAACTCAGAATTTCACCAAATTAACAAACTATAGAAATGATCCCTGAAAGTAGTCTTAGAATTTCACCAAATTAAAAACAAAAATTCTATCAGAAATCTGAAACCCAAGAAAAAAAGATAACATAACTAACCTTGGTCAAGAAAGTCTCAATGCCATTATTTGTAGGCCGTGAGCGTGGGGTAAGAATCACTAGGTTTTCTCTTGGAGCAACATTTCTATTGAGCAGTGAACTATTATTAATATTTCTAACAGAAGGCAAGTCTAGGACAGGCCTCATAGTAATAGTATTAATCAAAGACTGTTTTTGCTGTTTCTCCACCAGAAGTTTGGTACTGGTCTCTGCCAGCTTCTCATTAGTCCTGTTAAGATTACAAAACACAGTTCTTAATATTTCATTTCTCCCCACATCATTCCTAAATGACTTGCATTTTTTGAAAGTTTCCATAATAGTAAACAGAATGTGCCTTTAAACGGTGTTTTAACACTGAAAATGTGACAGAGCAGACCTACAATATATAATGATAGGTTTAAAATTGTTCTAAAGAAGTACATATATTTCTAGAGATTCCTAACTAACAAGTAATTCAAATTAAGGAGGGAGAGAAATGGCTATTAGTGATGCACAATGCTTAACAGGTAATACACGCTGCCTTCTGGAATGGCTGTACTTACAAGGTTCTTGAGGATGCCATGACACATACTTATATTTAGTAAAGCAGCATGCCATTACATATACTTATATTTAGTAAACCAGTTTAGAGATAGAAAAATATAAAACCATCCCGGGGGGCTGGGTGCTTGGTCAGTGAACCATCTGCCTTCGGCTCAGGTCATGACCCCAGAGTCCTGGAATCGAGCCCCTGCTTTTCCCTCAACCTCTTCCTGCCGCTCCCCCTGCTTGAGCTCACTCACTTGCTCTCTGTCAAATAAATACATAAAATCTTTAAAATAAAAATAAAAATAAACCATCCCTCAAAGACATTTTCAAGCATTGGCTTTTACCACTCTTATACATTTCACTCATTACCTCAGAGAAATTGAGCATTTGGCACTGAGGAATAATTTAGATCAACAACTGCTAGATGGCAGAGTTGTGATCAGAAAGACAGAAAACAGCTCCGGAGGCAATTAGGTTATAACACAGTTACCAGGGTACTGGAGGTGGAATCTACCCGTTCTGTCTTTCACCCAGCCCCTCCTCATGTCCACCATGGTGCTATTTTTAGCCACTTTGGGAATTATGCTGCCTTTCACCCCTAGGTGAATCTTGTTGTATTTCACATGTATACCTTTATGTAAGGTAGAAAAACTATATAAAGAACAGTTTGTTTCAAAGCACCCTCTATTTGGTAATAATAACAAAAATCACAATCAAAAAAGTAAATTTACCAAGCTGCCAGGATGTGCAGTTTGGGTTAAAGATGTACTCTTCCAAAAACAAACTCACTAATATTAAGAAACTCATTGCTATTCAGGGCAATTCTGACAAACAATTTTATAATAACATGCTGTCTAAATTATAAAGCTTCTAACAATTAGCTTAAAGACTAGGAGATCAGATTAACTGAAAATATTAAGGGGAAAAAAATAAAATCATGTAAAACCGAAAAAAGGAGGAGAGAGGCAAACTGTCTTGGACTAACATTTCAAAGGTAAGTTCTTTTACAAACATCGTTTTCCAAAATTAAACTATCTTACTCATCTCATGAACTTGGCTCCATAAAAATTATGCTTTAGAGGCAAATTAACAAGCTAAATCTATTTTCTATGATTCTGTTTTAACTTGCTTGCTCAGTTCATTTGTCAATGACGTTTGAACTTTTAATTCTTCTACGCAGAGTTGCTTGTATTTTTCCAATTCTGTTTTATAAAAATCTCGAGAACTTTTCATTCTGGATAGTTCAAATTCCAATTCTTTAATTCGGAGTTCCATTTGACTTCTTATTGAAGCATTATTAGTTTCTCTTAACTGTCCTAACCTTTCTTGAGATGCTACTTGTGTCTAAAGCAAATTAAAAGCATAGTTTTAAAACTGGGTAAATACAGTATATTTCTTTCCTTTAGTTTTGAGTCAATGATTCAGAGAGCAATTGTAAATGTGAAAAAAAAGCTGAAGTGTAAAATATTTCTCATCAATGTCAACTGAATTAAATCTGAATGATAAAGTTCAATCATTCTTATATTAGAACTCATGCAATCTGATAATTCAGAGAATAAGAGAATCCTTTAAAAACTTTAAAAAGTGAACAATACAACTTAAGAATAATCCAAAAACAGGGGGTGCCTGGCTGGCTTAGTCGGTTGAGCGCCGGACTCTGGGTTTCTGCTCAATCGTGATCTCAGGGTCCTGAGATTAAAGCCCTGTGTCGTACTCAGCATGGAGTCTGCCTGGGATTCTCTCTCTCCCTCTGTGCATCCTCTCACCCGTGCTTTCCAGATAAATAAATAAATAAATAAATATCTTTAAAAAAAATAATCCAAGTATGGTACCATCTTTTTTTTCCCAGCAGGCTCCATGCTGGGCTTGATTTCACGAGCCTGAGCTGCTCAACCAACTGAGCCACCCAGGCACCCCATGGTTAAAATTTTTAAAAGACCATTTTTTCTTTTCCTGTCAATAGTCTTGTTTTATACCAACTGGTCTTAAAAAATAAAATGATTCTCTACTGTGAATCATTCTGAAAAATCAATTTAGTGAGAATAATGATGAAAAGTGAAATTTTTAAAAGAGAAGGAACAAATGTTCCTTCAAATTTACCAAATGGCTATCAAGGAAGTAGAGGAAAATTATACAATGCATATAACCAAAATGTAACTTGCAGTGAAATGATTAAAGCATACTACAGATCAGTAAATTAACCTGTAAAAACAGACTGGCTTCTTTTAATTTTTCTGTTATGTCCAATCTTATTCTTTCTTCAAGCTCCCATTTATATTGTTCTATTTTACTGTATTCTACCATACTGAGTTCTAAATGACTTCTGAGGTGTACTACTTGTTGTTTCAACTTCTTTTTATTCTTCTCTAGTTTTTCATATTTCTTCTGCATTTCCTTCATAGATGATAACTCCTGGGTAAGAAGCTGGTTTTTTGCATCCAGGTATAGACATTTTGAAGATGCAGTTTCCAGTTTTGCTGTAAGATCATCAACCTGCACGAATAAAATAATACCGTTTGGAAGTAGAGTGAAAATAGTCTAATGCAAAACTATGACCAAATTTTTTTTTTAAAGATTTTATTTTTAAGTCTCTACACCCAACACGGGGCTTGAACTCACAACCCCCAAGATCAAGAGCCACACACTCTACTGACAGAGCCAGCCAGGTGCCCAAATTTTAAAATAAATTCATTTTCAACAAAATGTTATCTATACTCGAAGTAGAGTCTTGGAATGTGGAACCTCAAATAACTCAGAAAATCAAGAACAAAATTAAAACCACTAGTAGTTA